CAGTTATTAATCTACACCTTCCGCTTGCTGCGTTCTCTTTAGCCGCCAGTTGAATGTGGCCCCGAGTGCAAGTAGAGGTTTATGGGGCTACCATTGACTGGGACTTAGAGCCCCTTGAACTCATAGAGGGGGATCTGGTCGAGCGCACGATCCCCGGACGCAGCATTCGACACGCTGACGGTCAGTTTGCGTGGAGGTCCATAATCCTGTCCGAGGACGTGTGGCTTTGGACGTACAGAGAGCACCGGCCGGAGCAAGGAGTGGGCGTAGGGAGAGCCTACTTGTATTTGGGACCGGGTGCGGTCAAGGAGGCCGTGGTGGGCCTCGCGACGATAGGGACTAGTGACGCAGTTAGCAGGGCGCTACGCTACCTAGGGGAAGAGGTAGCTGCTTTCCAAGCGGAGGACGCGAGCGACCCGTTGACCCTATTTCAYGGACGCCCTCCTCTTGATATCACGGGCGAGCTGGTGGTAGCACGAGACGGTTTTTTTCCGTACAGCGTTAGGAGCCTGCGGGCGATAGTTTCGACGTTTGTAGTAGAGAGTGTCTTTGGAGGTATTGGTGGAGTGGTCGAGACATACCTGGCCTATCAGGATCTCAAGATCCTGGCGAGAAGGCCTGCCGACCTAGACTACATCTATTATTCGCTTGCGACCGGTGGGCCTCGTTGGGGAGACGAGAGGGTTCATCTTATAGAGCTGATCCGCTCGATAGACGACGAGTGGCCCTAGCCTTCGTGCGTTTGGGATTGGCTAGACCGTGAGCTCCGAGCACGCCCCGAGTACGTGACTTGCATCGGCGGTTCTTCTCAGACGACTGGGGGAGCTGGTGGAGTGAGGACGCCGGGCGACCTCTGATATACGGCCATCAGTTGACGGAATACTACCAGGCCATAGGACAGGCGCCATACCGCGTCGAGGACGAGTTTGACGACGAGGGTTGGGAGCGAGAGGACGACGAGGAGCTGTGGGAGCCAGACAGGGTCGACCCAGAGAGTGAGGTTGACGAGGAGGAGATTGACGTTATAGACGCCCATTTTCCCAGGATAGGAGTAGCGGTCCGGGCGTAGGAGGTAGAGGAGCGCACCAGGGCGACGGATGAGTGAGCCTGGCTACTGAACCTATTTGACCATACTGGACCTGAGTGCGAGAGTTGTCAGAAGGGTTTGCAACGTCGAGAGATGGGGTGCATCGGAGGAAGTAGAGTGATGCTGACCGAGAGTAGGAGAAGAAATGTGGAGTGATTCAGCGGCCTGGTTAGCTTATGTTCTCTCACGAGAGTCCGAATCGTATAGTGTGAGGAAGCTTGTGGGGCCCAGAGAGACGGCGGTTGGATACGACATACCACTTCCTGTGGCGTTAGAAGAGGCAGGGCGAGTACCGATACGATACTTTGGAATGTGGCTCGCAGAGGGGCTCTTCCTATGGACAGTAATACTACGAGACGAAGGACCCGAGAGGACTCATGATCTAGAAGAGGTCGGACATCTAATAGCGGATAGAACACACGATTTAGAGATAGGGCTAACGCTCGCAGGGGCGAGCAGGAGTTGGTGGAGAAGCGAGTTGTTGGGCAGAGTGATCGTTAATCAGCAATTGGCGAGACTCGCTAGAGGGAGGACGAGTAGGAGCTGCTTGGTATACGGTCCACCACATCCGACCCTCTACCCGAGAAAGGATTGGCGATTCGGAGTTCCTACCTTCGTGATAGGGCAGACCTATGGCAGCGTGGATCGTTTGAGGAGAGCGGTGGATCACACACTTTACGCGCTCTGGGAGGGCCTAGCGCCCCGCTTCAAGGAAGTATACTACGCCATTTGTGTGAGGTGGGGGCCGCCCAGTAAAGAGACGCTTGACGACATCATAGATGTTACGAGCTGGGTGGACTGTCTGAGGCCTATCGATCTGATTAGGTACTGCAGGAGACGGGCAGAGATCGATTACGCGGGGCTAGAGGATGCGAGATTTCTCTTCGAGGTCGCAGCTTAGGGAATGCCGGGAAGG